CGTGAGCACGCCACTGTTATTAGTATATAATTTATAATTATTTCTATTTTTGGTTGTCGTCGTCTTCGGCTCGCCGCGCCGACGGCGAAGATTATTATTACCGCAGTCGTGTTGTTATTTGTTATTTTTGATTTTCTTTATACTTTTTATACATCGTATTTTACATAGCATACGGACGATACTAATTTAGTCACTTGATACTATTATTGTTATTTTATTTTAACACGAGCACCCGCGACAATAAGACGTATAGACGTATAGTTTCCATATGTGAACGATTATTACGTAGGTAAGTACCTATTTTGTATTATTAGACTTTTAATTTAATAATTTAAATTATATTATTATGTAAATTATTAATTATTTTTATAAATACATTATATTAGATAATTCTACATACGCATTTGTTGTGTGTATTATATTCTGAATTAATATTCATATTTATTATTATTGCTATGACGAAATGGTTTTGTCAAGTTTAGTAAACTTGGTGTAAATGGTAAATCATTTGTAATAAAAAATAATTATTTGATGGAACTGTGTACAATTACGTTACTTACATAGACTCCCATTTTATTTATTACATTCAGTCTTCTTAGTGCAGTTTTTATTTAAATTCTAAAAAACATATCTACATAATATGACTAACATATATTATTCCTTATATACCTACATGGTATTCATTGAGAATAAATCTATATTTGTCGGTATAATAACTAGAGTTCAGGACTGATGCATGAAAAATGATCAAAATATATGCAACAAACAATTAAATATATTAGGAGCGTGCTAAATTTATGGTTTCTAAATAATATTWAAAAAAAAATACAATTCTATATTTGCATTTACAATTTGGCACTAATTATAAGTAAATATAGTCTTATCTAATTTCTATTTTATAACATTTTAGGGCTGTGTAACGTGTAGGATAAAAAGTCTTTTAAACATCATAATTCATAAAAATACAAATCATAACAAGTAGAGATAGAGATAGATTTAGAAAATACGAGTYAGGAAGTAATAAAAGAGCACGTCAACAGCAGAGAGACGATTTTATAAAAAAACAAACGGGATCTTTCGATAAATATCTTAAGCCAAGGCCAACTACATCTCAAGAAAATGTTGCATCTGTTTTAACTAAAACTAATAATGAATACGTCAATATAATTTCTGATTGTTCAACAAGTATTTATGAACAAACATCCCCTCTTATACCTGAAACTGATCACATCCTTCAGAATAACGTGACTAAATCTTTAGAAAATGAATTATCTACAATTTCTCATAACGAACCATCCGCAGCTGTTCAACATTTAAGTAATTCTACTTTTGAATCTCCAGTAGTTATAACTTTACTGATTTAACAGACCCAGGAAATTGGCCAATCCATCTTACTCATGTTGTACGTATCGATATAGTAAAAAACGGCCCCTGTAAAGTGGAAAATTTTAATTATCCAATAGACTCCGAGCAGAGAAAGTTTTCCGATTATTACTATACTCGCAGATTATCAAATGGTGAAGTTGTAAATAGATATTGGCTAATTTATTCTAAAAAGAAAAAYTGTGTTTATTGCTTTTATTGTAAACTGTTTCCATCACATACAAATGRACTTAGTACAGCGGGTATAAACGATTGGAGACATTTATCAAGAATTCTGAATAAACATGAAAATTCTTCAAATCACTTACAGTCACTAAAAGCTTGGTATGAACTTAAAACAAGAGTCAATAAATGTCATACAATTGATAATGACCATATGAAAATAATCGAAAAAGAAAAAGCTCATTGGCGGAATGTTTTACTAAGAGTTCTTGCCGCAATACAGTATTTAGCTAAAAATAATGATGCTTTCCGAGGATGTTCAGATGTTTTATATGAGAAAAATAATGGTAAATTTTTAGGCATTATAGAAATGTTGGCGAAATTTGATCCGGTCATCTCTGAACATGTACGTCGTATTAAAGACAACGAAACGCATGTTCATTACCTTGGACATAATATTCAAAACTCGTTGATTTCCATGATGGCACAGGAGGTAAAAATTAAAATAATAAAGTTGAAACAAATGCTACATATTTTTCTGTTATTATGGACACCACACCAGATATTAACCACTGTGAACAACTTTCTATTATAATAAGAATTGTACAGATCGATTTTGAAAATGAATCTAGCTGTTCTGAAATAAAAGAATATTTCATGGACTTTGTAAATGTTAGCTCAACTACTGGAATGGATTTATCAAATATTTTGATTGACAAATTGAAAGAGTATGGTCTCAACATACATAACATTCGAGGACAGGCTTACGATAATGGGGCAAATATGGCAGGTTTATATAAAGGTGTAAAGGCTCATATTTTAAAACAAAATCCACGAGCATTTTTTGTCCCGTGTTCAGCACATAGTCTTAACCTCTGTCTCAAGGATGCTGGAGGAAGTTCTTCTATGGCTCAATTATTTTTTGGAATGATTGAAAGGATTTATGTTTTATTTTCAGCATCAATAAACAGATGGGAGATTTTAAAGAAACATTGTAATAAGCTTTCTATAAAAAWAAATGGACAGAAACCCGATGGAACAGTCGTGTAAACGCTGTGAAAGCTATTCGATTACAATTAAACGAAGTTATAGAAGCTTTGGAGGAGATTTCGGATACAACAAATGATTTAAAAATAAAAAGTGAATCACATTCTTTAGCCAAAGAAATATGTACTTATGAATTTATTTTAAGTTTGATAATATGGTATGATATTTTATCTGAAATAAATATTGTTAGTATGAGTCTACAGTCAGTAACAGTTGATTTAGATGTTTCAATGAGCTTACTAAATAGTTTAATTATTTTTTTGGAAAACTATAGAGAAAATGGATATGGATTAGCTAAAGTTAAAGCAGAAGAAATTATATCACCAATGGGAATCGAAATAAAGTTTAAAAAAAATAGAATAAGAAAAAAGGCCAAAATGTTTGATTATGAAAGTATGGATGACTCTTTGACCAACGAGGAAGAAAATTTTAGAGTGAAGTACTTTTTAGTGTTAGTTGGCCAAACTCTAGCATCAATAAAAAAAAGATTTGAACAAATAACTCAATACAATGAACAATTTGGATTTTTATATAGAATTGGAAAGTTGAAAAGTATGGGAGAAGAAGAGTTATTTAAACATTGTCAAGATTTACAAATAACACTCACAGATGGTGAATCCTCAGATATTGATGCAACTGATTTATGTAGTGAGTTGATCATTTTTCGCACTATGGTAAATGAAAATACTACTGCCATTCAAGCTCTAAGGATTCTTAAAACATCTTGTGGTTCATTTCCTAATATAAACATTGCACTTAGAATCCTATTGACTATCCCTGTGGCATCTGCAGGTGCAGAAAGGGCTTTTTCGAAATTGAAAATTATTAAAAACTATCTTCGTAGTACCATTTCTCAAGACAGACTTTCTGGGTTAGCAACACTCTCAATCGAAAATGAATTAGCAGAAACATTAGATTACGACCAACTTATCGACCAGTTTGCACTTCAAAAAGCTAGAAAAAAAAAATTCATTTAGTTATTGTATTATTAGGGGTATTATTACATTACAATTGTTTTAAAATGAACCAGTGATATTGTAAAAAATTATGTTAATTAATTAATAATTATTAAATAATAAAAATTATTAATTCATGTTTTTACATTGTTTAATAATTTTGTATGTATTAGAAAGGATTTTATTAATATTTATTTAACATATAATTGAATTTATTATAGTAATTAAAATATTTGAGAAAAACCTACATGAATTTCAACTTGTATGATCTAAACGTATTAGACGTACATACGTAACGCACTATACTTATAAAGTTATAAACATCGAAGTACGTTTGGTTTGAAAACTAATAACTTGTAAATAATAATGCTAATAGGTAATCCAGTAAGTCAAGTAAGTGTAACAAATGTATGCAATCTGGGAGACTTATTTATTTTAATAATTTTTTGTATTTCGTACAAGTGTCTAGGAAAATCACCATTTCATTTTCATATATAAAAATTATTTTGCACCAGGCCCCGCGAATCCTTGAGCCGGCACTGAATTGAGTTTATATATTCTATAATAATGAGCATATATAAATTGCGCCGTAAATCACAAGGTAAAGAAAGAAAAATTATGGGATAGGAAAAAGGTATATCAATTGCGCCGAACGATACTTCAATGTTATAAATTGTGTACGTCAATTGCGTTGATCGATTCTTAAATACATCATTATTTAAACATGTGTAATRCCTATTATTTCTATTGATTACAAAACTAAAAGATTAGCATTGTTGTATATTTGGTAAATAAGGAAATTACAAATAGGTTTTGCAACTATGGTTTTTAAGCGTGTAATGAAATATGATATTTTACCATTTGTTCGACATATTTTTAATTGCCTTACATTATGATGAAGCTGATGTTGCCAGATAAGTCAATGCGGAGCGTTCATTTTTACGATGAAATACGATGCATATTTATATCAAATGTTTTAAAACTTTTAGATTATAAATTGTTTAAATTGTGTGTAATGTATATATTTTTGTTTATTGTTGTACAAATTATTATAAAAATAATATAATTAATATAAATTAATATTTAACTAATATATTATAATATAATATAATTATTATAAAAATTAAAACTAACCAAGACAGTCTGTGTCATAGCCAAATACTCCGGCGCAATTGATGTATACCTATTTAATATACATATTTTACGGTGTGTACTAGTTGCGGTCATTATCAAAAATTACGTAGGTACTAGTTTCGGTCGCCGGTCACCCCTCAAAAAGGTTACATACTAGTTGCGGTCACTCAAATAATAATTATTAAGTGTACTAAATAATATAATATAATATAGTTTATATAATAATTAAATATGAAATTAATATTTCGTTTATTTATTTAATTTAGAAAAATGTATCAATCAACATTTTCCTTCCCATTTATATCGAAAATATAACATACTTAAGACTGTCTACACACTTTTATTTATTGTGTAGGTATGGTTAAAAATGTTGGTACTTATGATTAAATTATTCGAATATTTGAAACTATGATCGGAGTATACAATTTAATCTATTTTATTTATAAACGCTGTGTACATTATATCGAAAAATATGTTTAGGGGAGACCGGGGTACAGTGAGACATGGGGAACAGTGAGACAAGATTCATAATTCGCGCCAAATTAAATRTACGTTAGTATGATAATAAAATGAATTGATTTTTATGATGTTATAAACATTTTAATCTAGGAATGGATGAGCTCCAATCACAGATATATAATAACACTAGATAGCCGACTTCCTATTGCAGCAATATCAAATATTGAAGTTGGGAAAATGGCCGACTTTTCTTATCAAATGGCCCATTGTTTACATAGTTTCTAGTTGATAAAATTGTAATAACGTATAAACGACAAACGTATTCGTATTACTGTAAAGTGTAAATTGTAATACCCACTAATACCTACTGTACCTATTATAAATTTGGAAATCGTAATACCTATTTCAATTTATTTTATTTTAATTATTTCCTTTATTAATTCAATATGGTGCATAGATGTTTTGTTGGAAACTGTCCCAATAAAAAAGTAACTGGAAGCGGTATTCATTTCTTTTCGTAAGTAATTATTTAAAATCACAAGGTTAAAATTACCCATACATTATGTTTCGTATAATTTATTTAACGTATTGTTTTAAATAGATTTCCAAAAGACGATGACCTAAAGGAATTATGGCTAAAATCTATAAAATTAAAGTATGGTGTACAAACACAACATAGTCGTGTCTGTAGTGACCATTTCACTAAAAATGATTTTAAAACTGTTGTGGGAGGTCGAAATCATATTTTATTAAAAAAGGATGCTGTTCCTACAATTTTTATTGCTAAAAGAACAACAGAAAATATTAATGTACTACATGATGACATAGGAATTGCATCAAATGAAAATCCCACCTCCACACATGCTATAGAAAATTCTACAGATGTTCAGCATGAAGATGCTTATATAGTGGAAAAGTCTGAAGTCGCACCCTGTAAACGACCGAAAAGAAAACTTACTTATGGCTTAATTGAAGTTGAAAATAATATTAGCCCTTCTCGGTCATCATACACGCTGCCAAAAAGAGGAAGACCTATAACAAAAGTCCAGCTACACCTCGTAAAACATTAATTAAGAGCAAAATTAAAATCCTGCAACAAAAAGTAAGAAGACTAAAAACTAAAATAAAAACACTTAACGATGTATTGGAAGAATTAAAAAAAAAAGGATTGATCGAAAATGATCCATGTGATCTTATAGAAAATGAATTTGAAGGCATTCAACTCGAAATTTTGAAAAATGAATTGACTAATAAAAAAAGAAAGCCTACCGGATGTAGATATAGCGATGACATAAAAAAATTTGCTCTTACACTTCATTACTATTCGCCTAAGGCATATAAATTTTGTCGGTTAGTATCTACTGATATCTAAGTGAGAAACAGTCTTGGGTAAAATACTTTTTAAGAGGACCCCTGACCCGCATGTGTGTCTCCGTCTTACCAATGTACAATATACCAAATTTGCGTACATGAGAATCCATTTTATGTTATTAGATTTAGTTTTACAGTCAATTTACCTATTACCAAACTTAAGGCTAAGAACATTATCTAGAGCATCTCTTAGGGTTTTGTTGAAATTTTTATTTTAAAGTGAGTTACAACTATGTAAAATATTACAACTTTAAAATGATCAYAACTCGCTTCAAAATTTCAACAAAACCCTATGAGATGCTCTAGATAATGTTCTTAGCCTTAAGTTTGGTAATAGGTAAATTGACTGTAAAACTAAATCTAATAACATAAAATGGATTCTCATGTACGCAAATTTGGTATATTGTACATTGGTAAGACGGAGACAACACATGCGGGTATGGCATCCTCTTAAAAGTATTTGGAATAAGTACTTGAATATTYATGAAAAATAGTATTCCGAATATGTATTTGAATACATCATAAAAATAGTATTCTGAATGAAGTATTAGAATACTTTAAAACTATTCCAATACTTAAACATTTTATTTTGTTTTAGATATTAATAGAATAATAATTGCTTTCGTGAAATTATAGCCAATGTTTAAATATATTGTTTGTTAATTAAAATAATAATATACTTAACTTTGACAATGTATGATTTACAATGTACAATAATAATTATATTTTATGAATAACATTATTTATATTATCAAAACATGTTTGTAATTACAAATTTCCAACACCAATTATACATTTTCTTTTGATTATTTTTTAACTGTTATTGTGTAATACTTTATAGATCAATATTCAAACTCYCTAATGAAACTGCCTTAAGAAATTGGACTTCAACAGTTAATGGGGAGCCCAGATTTTTCATTGAAGTTTTTGAAGCTTTGAAAACCTTAAAACTTGATAATAGAGATTGCAATTTAGTTTTGGATGCAATGTCCATAAAAAAACAAGTAATCTGGGATAAAAAAGCACATAAGTTTATAGGTTATTGTAATTTTGGGGGACAGCTTAATATTGAAGGGTCAGAAA